AAGCTTTTAAGCTTTGGTTGTGTGGGCTCCACTTGGTGGATGAATAAGCCACCTTGATTCTCAAAATAAGACATTTAAGCAAGGCTTAATGACTCACTCAAATTGGTTTGGGGGGGNTAATACCATCATGGTTATGTGGTACCTTGTATGGCACTAGTCCATAAATAGCGGGTATTATAGCTCGGACCGTATTTTATCCCAAATTGTCAAATTTCAATGAAACTTATTTTCTTCGATCCGCTTACCCTCTCACCTTCACGAATTTATGAATCACTTGTTTGAAATAACATAATGCTTATAATCCCAAAATAATCTCATTCCTGAACTTATGTCGCTTAACTAACGACGAAACTTTAACGTACAAAAGATGCGGGATGTAACATCTCATTTTCGAGCTTATATCAATTTAATTATGGCGTACTTTCATATAAGAAAACATGGGGTGTAACAACATCCTTCTGCTTCTGCGGAACTAACCACTCTCCCTTCTTCCGCATCTACGACCCAGGTCTCGTACTTATGGGCTCGCTGTGCCACCCAGCCTTCGTATCTCAGCCTTGGCTACATCTACGGCTCCTTCTCCACTTCTGCAGGCTCGCACCTACAGTTCCCACTCCGCAGGTCTGGTTATGACAGCTGAGTTCAACTTCAGCAAATCCTCCAATTCTAAACTTGTTCCTTCAATCATCTGAAATCAACCCGAGGCCCTCCGGACCTCTACCAAACATACCAACAAGTTGCATAACCCCATACAAACTCAGTCGAGCCTTCGAATCACTCAAAACAATATCAAAACATCAAATTACCCTCGGATTCAAGCCTAAGAACTTCTAAACTTTCAAATTTCACAAACGACGTCGAAACCTACCAAATCACATCCAAATGACCCCAAATTTTGCACACAAGTCAGAAATGATTCCACATACCTACTCCAACTTCCGGAATTCTATTCTGACCCCAATATCAAAATTTTCATTGCCAGTCAAAATCACCAAAGTTCCAACTCTCGCCAATTCATGCCTAATCCTACTAGGGACCTCCAAATCACATTCCAGATGCGCTCCCAAGTACAAAATCACCTAATGGAGCTAACGGAACCATCAAAATTCAAATTCGAGGTCGTTTACATATAAGTCAATATCTGGTCAACTTTCCCAACTTAAGACTTCACAATTGAGAAACATGGCTATAACTCTCAAAACCACTCCAGACCCGAACCAACTGACCCAATATATTATAATATAGCTGAAGAACACAAAAAGAAGCAAAAATGGGAAAACAGGGCTATAACTCTCGAAATGATCGGCTGGGTCTTTACAGTCTATAAGGTAAAAGATTAAAAAGTGTATAACATATGTACACTAGGTATATGGATGTGCCATCACCAAAAGAAAGGAATTTCTCGGCGTAAACGTGCGTTTAGGATTGTTTACGGTAATTGGGATAAGTCATTTACCGCTCTACCCTTGTATATGGTTGCTTTGCAACAATTTAACCCCAAGAGTGTTGTTGAATGGAAGCTTGAGCAGAGTCTAGGAATACCAGAATTCATATTCAGATATGTGTTTTGGGCATTTAAACCAGCCATTGATGGTTTTGTGCATTGTCGGCCGGTAATATTCATAGACGGCACTCATGTCTATGGAAAGTATGATATTAAGATGTTGATTGTTGTTGCAGTAGATGCTAATGGAAGCATATTTCCCTCGCATTTTCCATTTGTGCCAATGAAAGTCAGGAGACTTGGACATGGTTTTTGAACCACTTGAAGGAGCACGTTGTCAGACAGCGGTTAGGTATTTGTCTAATATCTGATCGGCATAGTGGGTTTTTAAGTTCTATATAGACTTTGGATACATGGAAGGAACCGTTTACCATTACTGTGTTAGGCACTTGAAGGCCAACTTCTAGTGGGCTCATCCGAACAAGAGCTTATAGGATTTAATATGGATGGCAGTAATAGATCATCAAAATGTAAATTCAGGAGGCGAATGGAATTGATTAGACCGGAAGACCCAGAAGCTTATCGTTGGTTGATGCAACATGATATTGATAAGTGGACTTTACATAAGGATGGTGGTAGAATTGGGGAATTTGACTACAAACGTGTCAGAGTATTTTGACGGATCGTTGAAGTCTGCCCGTGGATTGCATGTTACTGCCATGGTGCGGATGTCATTCAAGAAAATGACAGAGGTTTGTTAAAAGATCCCGAAGTACATCGTCCTTGTTGGAAAGGGGTGTTCAATTTATGCTAGAGCCAATGAAACAATTTTAGAAATATAGGAAGCGAGCACAGTGGCATACATATTTGCAATACTGCAACGAGCGAAATATTTTTGAAGTTCGCACTGATCTGCATCAAAGCCACGGTAATAATACCCACACCATCAATGAATCCAGAATATTATGTTCGTGTGGGAAATGGTTGATCTATTACTTGCCATGCTCACATGCTATGAAGTGCTTTCAACATACTAGTTTTGCAGCAACGAGGTACGTTGATAAAGAATAGAGTGTTTCTACATATGTAAACACCTACAGTGGCCATTTAAAATGGTATGTAACACAGGATTATGTATGTCGCCGGCAAGTGCAAAAAAGAACGTGTATATGGAACTAAATGGATGTTGGTGATACCGTTTATGCGCGTAAATATGGTATATGTTTCCAAATAGTACATGATCACCATAAATAGCCTTCAGTTGTTTTGGGCAGCGGTGGTAATTCAGCTCCCGGTGGCAGTTCATCCAATGTGCCCAATTTTCAAGGACAAACTTAGTGATCTGTTGCAGTAATTTTGTTGTACTATATGTCTATAATGGTATTGTTTGCGATATTTATGAAATAAAATTAAGTTTCCGATAGTATTAAATCTAATTGACATTTAGCATTGAAGATTCAATCCAACAATTAAAAATAAATTCAAGAAATAAATGACGATTTTTATTTGCCATTATCGTCACTGTCTGGCACAATTTCATTGTCATTGTCTTCACAACATCTTGTACGCATCCATACGGACCAAGGGCATCATAATCTAGGCTCCAGTTGACACACATTTCACGTATTTGATCGCTATCATCAATAAGACCACTTGCTTGATTTCTACAATAATATGGGACTCATACGTCCAACGTTTGCTGTAGAAACTTAGGTAGTCCCTCCCACTCGACAACTGTTGAAAATACAGGATAATCAATGTCTCTATGCAATTTTTCATTTTTTTAATAAATCCCAATACCGATCCTTCGTTCCTTGCATCATCCAGTGCATGATGAATGGCTAGTACCTTTTCCATCTCTAAAATCTCCTTCATCAAATGTTGTATCACTTCTGGTTCATCTTTATATGTGTTTGTTTGGAATGTTGCAGACAGTGCTTGTGGTACATCTATCTCATGCCAATGGTATAGTACTTCATAATCATACCTTTTTGAGTAAAGGGGAACCCATTATAGTTTTTCACCCCAAATTCGCATACCTTCAGCCTTTGTTGAATGCGCTTACCCCTTAATAATGTGCCCTGCAACTTTGAGATCAGTATGTATATTGATAGGATTATTTTCCAAGGGACGTAGAACACCATACCACTTGTCATCCACCAAATCAGTATAGCAACCTAGCATATTTTTTTAAGGTAGGGATCGATTGTGTTATGACGTGTTCCATGTGGATATGTTGAACTACCTTCAACTTTTTGCATCTTCTTAAACCACTTATTAAATGTTAGAGGCATTTTTGAAATGTTGAAATGGTTTTTGAATACTAGAATGTTGGTTTAACTTGAAAAGAACTAAATTGCACGAACTTGTACGTTAAACATAGCGCATCAATAAGAAGTGTTATGTGTATTGTCATATCGACCTGAAAAAGTTGTACGGACTTATACCGTAAAGAATCATTAGCACGTGAAACGTAACGCATCAATAATATGCGTCATGTGTATTGTCATGTCGACTTGAAAAGGCTGCACAAACTTGTACCTTAAAGAATCATTAGCACGCGAAACATAACACATCAATAATATGTGTTATGTGTACTATCATGTCAACCTGAAAAAGTTGTGCGGACCTGTCTCGTAAAAAATTATTAGCACGCGAAACATATTGCATTAAAATATGTGCTATGTGTATTTTCATGTCAACCTGAAAAAGCTGTCAACCTAAAAAAGTTGCACGGACTTGTACCATAAAGAACCATTAGCACGCGAAACATAACGCATCAACAATATGTGTTATGCAATCTAAAATCACTAATAGCTGCCTATAAAAAAACCGTGCATTCTGCATTATTATTTGCGGCTTAACCAAATGAAGAAAATAATTTTCCATAATTTTTCAAGTTCGAGCATTATGATATGTCTGGACACAATGACGTACACATAATGACGTACCAAGGTGTTACTGTGGTAAACGTGCAGTTTTGACTCCATGTTGGTCAAATTGCAATCTAGGTCGCAGACGTTGGATATGTAAACAAGTTGTAAGTTATTATAATTGAAAGTTATGTTAGTTAATATATTATTTATAACATATTAATTAGTAGTCTTTTGTTGTCATCCCCATTTGTAGGACGAAAACCAATGTGGTTTTGAAGAATGGTATGATGAACCCATTAACCAGGAATATTATAAATCATGTTTGTTAAACATTTGAAATCTGACCGGTGAGTACGAACTTCAAATCTTGAAACTCCAAGAACAACTTGTCATAGTGTAGGAGAAACTGAAGAGACAAAAGAAGAAAATAATTGGTTGGAAGAACAATTTCAGTGATTGAAGCAAAAAATAATGGGCGATAGTGACTAAACAAACACATGGATGTGTTAAGTGTAATTTTTTATATTTATGTTGTAAGTGTCATATATTATGTGTATTGTTTAGCGAATTTAAATTTATGCTAATCTATCTTATTTATTTAAGTTCTAGTTTTAAACTAACAAATAACCTGAAAAATAAAAACACACACGCTTATTATGTAAAACATCATAATTTTACTATTAGATATTTAATGTAATATATACAACTCAAAATACATATAAATGTATCTCATAGCCTATATTCTTTAAAACATTGGCTGGCCTAAGGCCCATACCATCTCGTCCGGCTATGCTATCGGAATCATCTCCATCACATCGCCTCTTTATTTGAGGATGCGATGCAATATGATCGTCAGGAAGGCTAGCAGGCTCAGTAGAAGTGGGCGTTGGGATATCATAACCTACAAAATAATAAGATATTTTAGTATATGAAATATAGAATACTAACTTACGTGTTAGCAAAAAAAATTAATGGTCTAACCACGGTCTCAGCGGGCTCATGAATAAGATCATCCATCTCCGGTAAGCGAGTATCGCACAATGTGGCCTCTGTTATAGGTGATGACGAAATATTTAAAAAATATAAATAATTTAGATATTACTGACTAATATATAAGATAAAATAAATTGAAGTAATAGTAATACAAATAAACCGGCACCTAAGTAGGCACACAATGCTCGGTAGGGACTTTGAGGTGCACTGGAGTAGATGAAGGTTAAAACATCTCGACCTGATGTGATGTCTACCTATATGTACATGAAAGATCCTCAGCAGCCCTCGATGAAAAGCCATAACTCAAGCTTCGACCTTTATGCACCTCTCGTATCAGACAATCAACAGCAACCCTCGATGGCTCTAGACGACTAGGAAAATAGTGATCCCAATCATACTGTGTAATGGCGGTGCCTGCGATCAAAACTAGAGCTGACAAGGTAACCTGTGAAGTCCGTGGTGACAGCTAAAGGCTAAATGATAGAATACCATGATAAGCATTGTGTGGCTCAGGGTAGTCACCCGGATGATCCTCTCCAATATCCTCCAAGGGTGCCTCAACGCCCCTTTTCCGGGGACCTCATCCTTGAAGACCACCACGACCACGTAGGCCACCCCTTCTCTGGCCATACATGCCATGTCTAACATGTACTAGGGCCACGTGTGGCCCATGATGGTACTCCTCAGGCAGCACATAAGCAACCTCGTAACCTAACCGCGCATCCTCTTGGGCAGCTCTCAATATGTAAGAAGCAAGATCAGCAACCCGACGACCAAACCCGTGCACAACTATCGCTCTGTCGCCTGTAAGTTGTAGCATCTCCAGTCCCAACTGGTAGAAATGGTGTAAACCAGTAGCTTGCATAGGATACAAAATATTTATTAAGGAAGGATGTTAAAGTAATGTAACATGATAAGTAACTATACCAAATAACATACTAGTGCACCATGTCTCCCGGCGTATAGAACGTACCGACCACCATTGCGATGAACGGGATTCCAGATTAGAAGGCGAGTTATGCGGCGATACCAAACCATGTACTCATGTTCCCCGTCAATATGGAGGGTATGGCAAAATCAGGCCATATCTCTTATCCCAATCCTCTATTTGGGCCTCTAGCCAGTCCAAGTATGTCTGGTCGACCTTGCTACGATCATCCACTCGTAATGTGTGGAATGCTAACTAGGCAGAATAGGTATAAGCTTGCGTCGACCAAATAGTCGAAGGACTCGCTCGGTGGCATATTAATCACCTATATCGAGACATATAAGTGGGACTAAAGACATCCACATAGCTCGAACGTGAGAGCATCTGGCAATCCAGCGATAAGCTCGTCACTGTATGGCCTCCATATGGACTATTTATTAAACAAGAATCATGAGTAAACGCAAGACAGATCAAGCATTTTCAAACAAACTTAGTCATACATTTACCTTAGCGTCTTCAAGTAAATCCAACAAATCCCTATAATAAAGGAGATGATGTCTAGCCTCGACCTCGCGGGAGCGGACTCGCCTATCTACCTACCTCCTAGCAAGTGGTAGAAAAGGTAGAGGTGGTGCATCTGGAGCTATTGGTAGGAGAGGTGGATGGATTTGCATGAACCGCTCCCAAGCCCAAACCTATTATTGATTGTGGACATAAAATTTAAGTTATTTTGTACTATCTCTGTTATAATCATGAAAGAATTGATAATGTTATCAAATGTAGTAGTGGTATAAAACTGGCAACATCTCTAATGGTGCCCATGGATGACTAGTACAACTACCTATAAAGGTAGGCTAGAACAGCTCCACCCTTGTTGTAAGTAGGTAACTCATCTAGCCACTCCAGATGATGTAGAAATCGCAAACTAACGAGGTTTCCTGAAGTGTTGAGGAATAGAATACCACCAAACATCATCAGTAGCAATAGCCTCGTCTACCGCTCGATAGCCTCTACCGGTAAGTCATCAGTAATCTCCACATGCAATGCCACCAGATGTTGCCTAACGGGCTATAACTACAATCGACCAACACTACTCATAGTAGTTGGCTCCGTGGGATGGAAACCTATGAGCCTCTACAACATATGTATATAGTCTTCTCTCGTATAATCCCTAAGAGCTTGTAGGTAGCTGACAACCATACCATCAACGGGCAACCTTAATAGAACCTCCACGTTCTCTAGTATGATGGTAGCCTCGCCGATAGGTAGATGAAATGTGTGAGTCTGAGGTCACCACCGCTCTATCATAGTCGTGATCAGAGGCCAATCAAACTACAACTGGCCGATCTCTATAATCTGGTAAAACCCCATCTGCTCAAGGCGTGTAACTGTATGGGTGGTCCCTAATGAACTCTCAAAGATCTTCTATACATCTAGGGTGGAAGGTCTGGGACAGCAAATGTCCATCCCATATGTGTGAAGACCTACGACCACTTTGGAGCAACAGCAGCTCTCGAACAACAGGTCCAGGATGCACAGGTGGAGGATCTATGACGATGTCTGTAAAGTAAATAATATTAATTAAAGTATTTTTCTCTTTAATCGTTTAACATGTTTAAATACATTGTGATATTTTTTATATTAATATTTAATCGATAAATTTTCTATATTATCACTTCGGGTGATAAATAAAACAATTATTTATATGTTAGTTTCTTCGATTTTTTGACTAAAATTCGGTAGGATTATGTTTACTTTTCTTAACTAATCACGATATTTTTAATAATTATTCATATAAAAATACTAAAAAGTTAATACTAAATAATATTCAATATATTTAAGAAGTCACATATCCAGAAGATGAAGGTAGCAGAAATGAGGATGTTGAGGTGGATGTGCGGGCATACTAGGATGGATAAGATTAGGAATGATGATATTCGGGAGAAGGTGTGCGTGGCCCCTATGGATGACAAGATTTGGGAAGCGCAGCTCAAATGGTTCGGGCATGTAACGACCCGGCCGGTCATTTTGGATTGGAGTGATGTGGGATCACCCGCGAGTGTATGTTGGAAGTGTGCACTCAGTAACGACCCGGCTGGTCGTTTTGAGAAATTAAGCTCTATCCGGAGGCGTAAGGTCTGGAGCAGCTTCATATTATGGGTATCGACTTGCGGCATGGTTGAATTCACTTAACAGATAATTCAGAGTCAAATTGGAAGAAGGAATCTAGTTTTGGAAGTTTAAACGGTGAGAATTTGATCAGAATTGGAATTTTGAGTAAACGGCCCTGGAATGGATTTTGGATGATCTCAACAGCTTCGTATGGTGATTTTGGACTTGGGCATGCATCCCAATTTTGGATTTGGAGGTCCGTAGGGTAATTTGAGGCGTTTCAGCGAAAGTTGGAAAAGTTGAAGCTTGGAAAGTGGAGAAGTTTGACCCATAGTTGACTTTTGTGATATCGGAGTTGGAATGCGATTTCGAGAGTTGGAACGGCTCCGTTATGTCATTTTGGACTTGTCTGCAAAATTTGGCGTCACTTCGGGTTGATTTGATAGGTTTCGGCACAAGTTTTCAAAGTTGGAAGATTTGGAAGTTCATAGTTCGATTCATGGTGTGATTCTTCTTTTCGGCATTGTTTCATATGATTTGAGACCTCGAGCAAGTCTGTGTTAGGTTATATGACTTGTTTGTGTGTTTAGATGGGGTCCCGGGGCACTCGGGTGTGTTTCAGGTGTGTTTCGGATAAGGGCGTCCATTCGAATCGGTTTATCGATAAATCGAATCGATTATTTGTTGACTTATGGAGCTCAGTTTTTAGCGATTCCTTGAGGGTTTTTCATACAAATCGATTGGGTAAGTGTTCTTCATCTAGAATCTAACATATTCCATGATTTTATCTTCATTTTCATCATTTAATTTGTGTTTTGGGTTGGGAAAAATGTTAGTTTTTGAAGAAAATTCCTAAAATGAAAAATCATGATTTGAGGGACCAAATGGTATCAAAATTTGATAAATTTAGTATGGTTGAACTCGTATCGGAATGGGTATTCGATTTTTATAAAATTTGTCGGGTTCCAAGGTGTGGGCCCAGGAGGTCGACTTTTGGACTGATTTTTGGATTTTGTTAAAGATTGAGACTTCATGATCCGGAATAGTTTCTTATGTGTTTTATTTGTGCTTTGAAGTTAATTTGGTTAGATTTGAGCTGTCTGGAGGTCTTTTCACTCGAGAAGTGCATTTTAGAGTATCGGTTTGTTGTCTTTGAGGTAAGTATCTTGCCTAACCTTGTGTGGGGGACTTCCCCTTAGGATTTGAGTCTGCTATGTTGATTGTAGTTCATGTACGCGAGGTGACGAGTGCATGCTCGGACTTATTTGTGGAAAAATTGGCTTTTTAGGGTTCTTAGGTCCTTATATTCACTGTGTATGAATGTGTACTTGATATGCGTGAGTTTTCCACTTACTAGTTTCACGTCTACATACTCTAATTGGAATTAGTTGCTTATGATTTATTCTTATTGCCTATTTGACTCTTATTTTGCTTAACTAAAGATTTTTACCTCTTTTATTGTCATGCTATCTTTCATAACTGCTCGTCTTTATTGGAAATCATTATTATCTCCCCTGTAATTGTTTAGTCTTAATTGAGGTTATGATTATCTTCCCGTTGCTCATCCTTAATTGAAATTGTAGTATATTCTTCGTAAATTGCCCAACCTTAAAAGAAGTTTAGATATCTTATATTTAGTTGACATTTCCTTATTTGGAATTATTTGATTCGTGTTAGCTTCCTTGGTGTTGAATTACATATTGTGGGATCGTTGCTTCATATTATTTTCTCCCTTGTTGAGTTGTTCTTATTACGCTTAGTATTCTCTATTGTGGTTATTCCTCGTGAGCTAGTTTTACCGTCTCTTTGTGATCGAAAGTTTTTGAGTTAATTTACTTGTCGTGTTCTTGTATATGTTGTCATTGCTATTGTTGTACTTGTTCTGGTGGTGCACGAGGTTTCTACCGTGCAGTTGTTGATATTGTGATGCACGAGGTTTCTACCGTGCGGTTGTTGTTATGGGATTGCACAAGGTTTCTGCTGTGCTATTGCTACTATTGATATATTGCACATGCGGCGTGACAAGGTGGGGTATGTATAGATATGCTTATATGTGGGTTGCGCATGTGGTGAGACAAGGTGGAAACATTATGATGCACATGTGGCGAAACAAGGCGGGCACTTATTATGTTATTATTTGTACACATTGCGAGACAAGGTGGGCTATGTCAGGGATGATTGTAATGATTTGTGATGGCCTGGGGGCATTCTTGTTGTTTGATATTTTGTTGTGGTACGCTTACTTGTATGAGCTTTATCTCGTGGAAGTTGTGAGGAAATATATTACGTGTTGTCTGTTCTTTTCCTTATGCTTATTAGCTGGTAGAAACTGTGTTAAAGCACTTGCACATGCATACACGTAGTTGAACGCTCCTATTGGATGTGAAGTCCTCCTGATTTTGCTGAGTATAGATGCACACCCTTGTTTACTTGTTATATATGTGAGGGTAGCTCTAGTTAGCAAGTGAGTTGTCAGCATGACCATGAGGTGTGATGGGGGCACAGGATGTCAAGTGTTAGATTTCAGGTACTGGGACTCGTGAGCTATAATTTGTTCGAGATTCGGTACTTCATGGAAATTGTTGGATAAGACCTGATGTGAACATTGTCGTAGGATTTGAGTTATTGCTTACCTTTACTGTATTGTGAATTTAGGATTTGGGTTTATGTTTTCGCTCGCTCTTCTATGTCATTATTTTGATATTTCCGTTGTTACTTGTTGTTTTCTTCCTTATTGTGATTGTAGTATTGTTAGCCATTTCATGTAGTTTTTATAGATACATCATGTTCCGTTGTTTCTATATTTATACAGTTTATTGGACCGGTAGGTGTCTTGATTGTTCCTCGTCATTACTCCATCGAGGTTAGTCTTGATACTTACTAGGCATCGCTGTGGTGTGCTCATGCTACTCTTCTATACATTTTTGTTGTGCAGATCTAGGTATCGATCATTAGTAGTTGTACGGATCATTGTCGAGGAGACTCAAGGTAAACTTGATGTTGCGTTCGCAGGCTTCGGAGTCACCTTCTTACTTGTATTCAACTATTTTCACTCTTTTCCGAACAGTTATATTTAGAAGTGGTAGCTAACTCTGAAGAGCTTATGACTTGTACTACCAGGTTTTGGGAATTATAAATTTTGTAGAGATTTCTGCTTTAAGACTGTTAAATTTCATTTATTATTGTGGTATTTCAGTATGAGTTAGGCTTATCTAGTCCCTAAGACTAGGTTCCATCATGATACCCAAACGGAGGGAAAGTTGGGTCATGACAGGGCATGTTGAGAGGAGAAGCCCAGATGCTCCGGTAAGGAGGTGCGAACGGTTGGTTGTGGAGGGCACGAGGAAAGATAGAGGGCGGCCTAAGAAGTATTGGGGGGAGGTGATCAGGCAGGATATGGCGAGCCTTCAGATTTCTGAGGACATGGCACTTGATAGGAACATGTGGAGGTCGAGTATTAGGGTTGTAGGTTAGGAGGTAGTTCGGTCTTGCCTTATGTCATAACTTTGTGGGATTAGTTTGGTAGGGATACTATTTTGCTTTTGTTGTGTATCTTTTTTTTGGATTTCATGTTGTTCCTATTTTTCTTATTATTTCTGTGGTATTACTATTGTTGTTGTTCTTATTTAATTCATATCGATTTGTTTGTTAACTTTTATATTTTACACATAAATCTCTCATAGTCTCTTTGTACTGTCAACTAATTATTTTATAATTCATATCTAATATTTGATCGTCGTCTAATAATATATTTAATAAATACTTAATAATTGATTAATATTTGATCCATAATTAAGTACTCTAACCGGGTTAGTTGATAAGGGCAGGTAGTTTTTATTGTACACTAAAGAATCCTAAAAATCACTAAAGTTACACTACTCTAAATGGCCATAAACAGCATCAACTAATATAAATTAAAATTATTATCAGTTCTACCAGACTAAACGACACTACATAACAATAAAAGGCACAACATAACACTAAAGGACACTAAACAATAATAATGTCACATATTTTTATATGAACAACAATAAAGTCACATATAACACTAATTATTCAATCAAAAAATAATATACAATTTTTCATAATTTTTTGCACATAAATAAACTAATCCGGGTAAAAAATAAAAAATAAATATATCAAAAAACGATCACAAAAAGCATACAATACAGTAAAAATAATTAATTAGACAATTATATACATGAGTTATACTACAAAAGTAATGTGGAATACCTCTTTTTAGAGTTTTTTGAATTGAGAAAGAATGAAGATTTGACCACCGAAACAGGCAATAAAAGGGCTCCACTACACGACAACACCTTGGATCGGGTGTTAGCTCGCTAAAATAATAAAGGGGCAAGATTTTTTGGGACGGGTGGGCTCCAATGGAGCTTTAAGGTTTAAAATGGGGGTGGGGAACCATTTTTGGGATTTTGTCCCGAAGAAGACTAGCCATTTTTTAATACAGGTATAGCACATATATTTGATACACTATATCTATCTGTCTTTTCAACTTTAGGTATAGCACATCTAATATATGCGTTATATTTGTACGTTGACCGCCCTTTGAAAATCAGGTATAGTGCATGTATTACATGTGTTATACCTTAACGGACAAATGTGTCCTTAAGGTATAGCGCATGTAAATCATGTGCTATACACAAAATGGTCACCATTTTTTCACCTATTTTTGTGCTTTGAGTCCAAAAAAATAATACTTTGGTTCCGCACTCTCTACGTAGTGATGACTACTTCATCTTTTGGTTTGACTGTACTGTGAATAGGACAAATAATACAATAATATGCAAAGTGGCCCATATACATTTATTAATTGGCCTTTGATTCTGAAACAATAGGATCCTGATTTCAGGATTAGCAATGAACCAATTCATTTAGGTTGTCTTCCCTAGCTTTTCCAATTCAATACCGGATTGCTGAAAATTTTAGGAGGATAGCAGATTCCTTAGGTAAGCTTATCTATACTGATAAATTTACAGCTCGGGGGAATACAATCTCATATGCTCGAATGCTAATTGAGATAGATATATCGCAATCACTACATATATATATATATTGTCACACCTTCTTTTTACCACCTGAGAGGGGGAAATATAGGGAGTTTTTTCTAATTTAAGTGACAATCAAAACGGGATTATTTATATTATTCAGAGTCGCCACTTGGAATAATTTATGGTGTCCCAAGTCACCGATTTAAAATCCCGAATCGAGGAAGTTGACTCATATTTATGGTCTGCGAACACAGAAATCCGGGTAAGGAATTCTGTTAACCCGGGAGAAGGTGTTAGGCATTCCCGGGTTCCGTGGTTTTAGCACGGTCGCTTAACTATTAAGATTGGCCTAATTATCTGATTAATTACACGTTTTAAACCTACGTGCATTGTTTTAACTTTCTAACCGCTTTTTAATGTTTTAGGAAAATTCAAGGTTGTTTAAAACACATCGTAAGCCATGCTACATGAAATGTACCCGCGGTTCACGACACGTTTTATTTAACCTTATTGGAAATTGGAGCCGGGTCACATGAAATGCACACCCGGATTTATAACATGTTTATTTCTATTATTATTATTCAAAATTATGGTAGGGTCACATGAAATGCACACCCGAATTGAGTTTTACGTATCGCGACCATGCCAAGGGAATCGTACCCATAGCCACGATAATTATTATTAATCGTGCCAAAAGCATCTACGATATTTTCATAAGCTAATTTTTCTGAGTTCAAGACGATTGTATAGGAGTCCACAGTTATGGAGTTTATTGTGGACAAATGTATGATTTTAGCTATTATGAAAGTGGGCTAGTTTATAGTATTATTAATATTTGGTCAAGTAGTATTCAATAGCATATGCCCAAATTTTAATATCTTGGCTAGCCAAATTGTCATATGCACCTAGTATCAACCTGTGGTCCAAATACTACCCTACCCCCAAATCCCCGTCAATCAGAAGAATGATTAATAAATGAGCACTAAAATGCCTTATAAAAATAAAAGCCATCATGAAAATAATGTAAGCTAAAATAAAAGCGCAAATAACAAATTCTTTTCACATACAAGTGAAGCAAATAAATAAGATACTGAAAATAAAGAATAAGGATGGCCTTTGACGTCATGTTAACAAGAAGATTATTCAGTGTTATTTCATAAAGAGTAAAGAACTTCATTCAAACTGATTCATAATTCAAAACACCAAGGATCATGTATTTCAAAACAAATACTGTAACAAAGCAAAATCAGAAAAGCAGACCTTCAATGCAAGAACGTGACTTTGTAGATTTTGAAAGTCAACGACGAACCCAAAGGCGGACCTCGAACAGAACCTCATCGGCAACCTCAAAACTTGGCCGAAACTTTTAGAGAAGTGGCTAGTTTTGCTGCAATTCAAGGCTAGCGTCACGACTATTTTGGAGTAGTGTTAGAAGCCGCTTTGGAGGTGGCGCTAATAGAGGTCTTTTTGAAGGACAGTTGCTGCGTTTTTACAGCTACTTTAGAGGACATGACAATGGTTCAAAGATCTATTTTATTGTGTTTGGTGGCAGTTCTTGAAGCTACATTTCAGCTGGGTTTTCAAGGAGTTTGGATGGTGTTTTGTATGGCAATTTGCAGTTGATTGATCGAGGTTGAGGCGCCACTGGCCGTTTCCTCGTCACTCTGTTATTTTTCTAAATCCCCTCACTCTGATGACTTTGTTTCGTGACCCTTTTTACCTGTTCCCCTTTCTATTTTAACTCTGTTTTCTGTCCAGGCCCCCCCTCGTCCGTTTGTGTGTTTTTCATGTGTTCTATGGTAGAAAAATGGAGGAGGATTTTAGAGGAAACGTGAAGAAGATGGTCGCCTCTGTTTTCCGTTTTTCCTTTCTCGATCTGTTTCTTCTCCCCCGGTTTCCTCCTCTCTTTTTTCGTTCTTTTTTTTTAATATTTGAAGCTCTCTATTTTTTCTATCTGTCTCCTCCTCTCTCTCTATTCCTTTTTTTTCCCAACCCTCTTTGTGTGTGAGTGTCTTTGTTATATAAAATTTTCGACCAATGAATGGGGGCTTGGAGAACAAGAAAAACAATATTAAAAATGTATGGTCCCCTCCAAAGGAAGATGCCAAAATTAATAAGTTGATCAAAAGGAATCAATCTGTTAGGTGAGCACGTGAATTTAGGGGGAAATGGGGGCCGCTTTTCTTTCTTATTTTTGCCTTTCACCTTTTTTTGCTTTTTATTTTCTTCTTTTGGTTTTGAAAATGAATTAAAAATAGTTTTATAAAGATACTAGTATATTTAAGATAATAAAATATTTAGAGAAGACATATAGTTACTATATTAATGAAATTTTAATACTACTCAATATATACTAAAACGTACAATTTTAAAATTAAACTAAATAAATATATATTTTTTGAACTTTTTATTCTTATCTTTTTTTTTTTGAAAAATAAAATGCCAAAACTATTTTTGTATTTTTTCAATAATAAAATTAACTAGACAAAATATCAACTAGCTAGAATGAGGAAAAATATTTTTGTAAATTTTCGTTTTTGTGATAAAATAAAGCAAAAGAGTAAAAATGAGTTGAAATAGCTATATTAGGCCTAAATTAAATATTTACGTGCTAAAATATAAAAAATCTTGGGGAGGGTCAAAAATCACATGTCTACAGCTGCCCCTCTTTGACTAGAAAGACGACGTATTTTCAGACAAAGAACGACTAGACAGGTTTTTTGACCCGACCCTTATTTGGAGAGACTTAAACTAAGAGAGAGCGGAATGTGATCGAGCCCTGGTATCTAAGCTGCCTACATATCCTTGGCTATAAAGGAATCAGTCCACGTGTAGTTCAGAGGTGAGTGAGATGATGGAGTATGCCGAGGTGGAGAGCTGGTCGAGGTGCCATTTCGCCGAGGTTCCGGTCCGCGGTCCTGATGTTACATCAAAAATCAAACCATGAAAAAGACTAGCTAAGCCTATCAACTACGAGTTACAAGATTCATATCTATAAGTCTTCTGAAGCTTGATCTTGAGTCTTGGGTGGTTCTTCATGCAGACTTTAGATTTGAACCTTGACGTTTGCTAGTTGCAGGTGCTAGTTCATTCTTCTTCAGCTTTTCGAATCAAGACCAGGCATGCAGTGCTTGTGACCTCGGCCATGTCTTGAGTAGCCCACATCTTTTATCAACTTCTGCATTTGAATTAACTTCTTGCCTTTCTCTTTTTTTTTGTGACTAACTTCTGTTGATCACCTCGGACTATTGACTCACATTCTTGCCGCGAGCTTCTTTTGTTGCTGACTTGAATTGTATTCTGAAGTGAATTCTTTTATTATCCAGGAAGGCACCTGATTGCTGAATTGAACCGTCTTCTCTTGTTACTTGACACGATTTTCCCTTACACCTTGAACTATTTTCCCTTGAAACTTGAACTGTCTTCCTTCGAAACTGCTTTCCCTTGAAACTTGAGTTGTCTTCCCTCGAAACTACCTTTCCTTGAAACTTGAGTTGTCTTCCTTCGAAACTACTTTCCCTTGAAACTTGAGTTGTCTTCCTCCGACACTGTTTTCCTTTGAAACTTGAGTTGTCTTCCTCCGACACTGTTTTCCTTTGAAACTTGAGTTGTCTACCCTTGTTCTCCAGGTGGACACCTGATTGCTGAACTTGACCTGTCTTCCTTTGAAACTTGAACCATTTTCCCTTGTTCTCCAGGTGGGCGCCTGATTGCTGAAACTTTCTGTGTTCCCTTGTTTTCCATGTGTATGCTTGTAATCAAAACCAACAAAACAAACAAAATTTTCACCCCAGTTTACACTAGGAAGATTTGTGAGTTGTTAACAATATTGTAAACCACTTATACTATTGATGCAATGATGAGTAAACTAAAGACTAGACTAGGATGTACTTCTCCTAAAAGTGATTGAGCTTGCGAAAAACTATAAACTAAGCTTGACTAACGTAAAGACTGACCTTATTCTCCAGGCGGGGCCCTCTGATTTCAGGAAAACTAAGCATTGATAATATTAAGAAAACTAAAAATTGACCCCCTTTTTTTCAAATCCAGACTTCCTTTTTTCAAATTATCCTAGGAGAAAATTCGTCCGACTAGGTTTTCTATCTTAGGAGAAAGATTCATCAGACTAAGACATTTATCCTATGAGAAAATTCATCAGACTAGGTCCTTCTTTCTCTTTTTTTTCTGTTTTTGGTATCTTAGGAGAAAGATTCATCCGACTAAGACGTTTATCCTAGGAGAAAATTCATCAGACTAGGTTTTCTATCTTAGGAGAAAGATTCATCAGACTAAGATTTTGATCCTAGGAGAAAGTTCATCAGACTAGGTCCTCTTTTTGTTATCTTAGGAAAAAGATTCATCAGACTAAGATTTCTATCCTAGGAGAAAGTTCATCAGACTAGGTCTTCTATCTTAGGAGAAAAATTCATCAGACTAAGATTTTGATCCTAGGAGAAAGTTCATCAGACTAGGTCTCTTTTTTGTATCTTAGGAGAAAAATTCATCAGACTAAGATTTCTATCCTAGGAGAAAGTTCATCAGACTAGGTCTTCTATCTTAGGAGAAAAATTCATCAGACTAAGATTTTGATCCTAGGAGAAAGTTCATCAGACTAGGTCTCTTTTTTGTATCTTAGGAGAAAAATTCATCAGACTAAGATTTCTATCCTAGGAGAAAGTTCATCAGACTAGGTCTTCTATCTTAGGAGAAAAAAATGTGAAGATCAATGGCAAATTTTTATGCATAATAGCAAGACAAATAAAGGCCAAGATTTGAGAAATTTTCCTTTGTCGGCTCTTCTCGTCTTTTCCCCTTCTTCTCTTTTTTTTGTTTTTTTGTTTTTTTTCATTTTTCATTTTTTTTTTCTCTTTTTGAATCACTTTCCCTACACCGCTTTGTTCTTGTTTCATACAAAGAAAAATTTATCAGTTTTAAAAATGGTGGTCGGTTTGTGGCCTTGAGTCTTGGGCAGCTTGGCTTCTGCTCAATCAGCTTGAGTCGGTCTCAAAAGACTTTTGTTCTGCACCAACTCTGATTGTTTCACACCGGTACCATTTGTATTTGTGGTTCAATCAGCCTAATCCCAACTGGAGATCTTTGCTTAGGTGACTTTTTCTGATATCTTAAATGACTTCCTGCTTTTGAGCAATTTGTCTGTCAGGGAGAATCACCAGTTATCTTGCTTGCGCCAAGTAGGCTGACAAGAGTCTTTAGGGGGAGCCTTTGCATGAATCCTCAAGGCATGTTGACAGTAACAACTGAGTGTGCTGGCCAAATTCACTTTGTGCAACTGAAAAGCTGGTAGCAGATTTTGAAATCTTTTCTTGCTTGTTCTGACAAGGACTGACTCAGAGTGAAGGACACAATAATACAAAGAAACAAATATTAACAAGAAATGACCCCTGTCGGAAGGACAGAAGGAAGAGTTTTTTTTTCTTTTTTTTTAAATAACTAGCCTTAATGATCATGACATGCATTTGGACTCAACGGCTTGATCTATCAAACTAATCCAATCTTTTCTTTTGCCATACTTATGAGCTTTGAAGTCGGACTTGTTCGTACCAATTCTTTGCATCAGCTTCGCGACTCACCTTCAACTAGTGGTGCCCCGAAGGATTTTCACCTACAAGCCTCTCTCATTTATTCATCTCTACTTACCGTCGTCTTACTGTGCCCGTGAGGGTTTTCACTAATAAGACTCTCTCATTTTTTTTTCCCCTCTTTTTGTGAGCAACTCGACGATGTTCTATGTCGTGTGACAATTGTTGCTCATTGCATGCGTCTCCTGGCATTCTTGAAGGCATATTGGGAGGTCTTTATTTGGAAAGTTTTTAGATAGGGTTGGAAAGAAAGGTCGGCATGAAGGCTCAAAATAAACTCAAAATGAGGGGTTGTAAACTTACAACTCTTGGAATCGACTCTTTCAAAAATAAAATAAAATCTTTGCCCCAGTTTCAGATGCTAGGGATTTTGGATTTTTCTATTTTTTCTATTTTTTTTCTTTTTCTTCTAAATTCTTATTTGGTTGGACCGAACCGTAAGGCTGCCTACGTATCCTTATTTTAAAGGAATCAGGTCTAACGTAGTTCAAACATCTGACCTAACTATTTTTTTCATTTTTCTTTCTGTTGTTTTTTCCTTTCTTTTCTTTTTTCTTTTTTTTTCTTTCTTTTTCTTTTGTTTTCAAAACAAGTTGCCCCAGCTCCTATTTTTTGGGGCATGGACCTTTGACAATTCTTTTCTTCTTCTTTTTTTGAACTTTATAAGAATTGCCCCAGTTTGTACTCTTGGGACATGGATTTTTTTTTTGACTCTAAACTTGATTCCAAAAAAGGGTAGTCAAAGAAAATAACACAGGCTCAAAAGGGGTAACAAAGGATATAAAGTGTTTGGGTAGCAGAAAAAGGGCTTCCCAACCTCGACAACGTCAAACATGGTATCTTTTCGCGATCACAGCATTGACGAACATGTCGGTCTTCTTGGTGTGTCGTGGTCACAAGACATTTTTTCATCCCTTAGTGACAAACTTTCCAACAAACTTCAATTGAATAAACATCTTCAAGCCTGATTTTCACCATGATTTAAAGGTGAATTTTACTCGACCTTAGTTCCAAAGTATTCCAACTCTTTATTCATCCTCAAATGTATTTTTTTATTTTTTTTAGTTATCCAATTATAGATAAAAATCAGTTCCTAAGATCTGGCCAAAATTTCTACATGCATGTCATGTCATTAGAACTAGCGACAAAAGAACTAGGAACAGAATGACACAAAAGGACAAACTGTATTTTATTGAGTAAAGGATAAAAGGGTTTTACAACTAAACAAGCAACCCAAAATACGAGTTACAACCCTAAAATAACCCGAATAATGAAAATAGCAACAGAACAGACAGACAAGACTCACACAAACAGAATGGAGGGATAGAAGGATTTGACTCAATAAAACAAACAAAATCTGGATCACAACCCTGAAATAAACCAGATAATAAAAACAACATCAAAACAAGCTACCAAGATTCCTTCCTAGTGAGGAGAGAATGACTTTTCAATTGCTAGGNCATTCTGGGGTAGATAGCAATGCTCAGGGGAGTCATGGGAAACCTGATGAGGTTGCGCATACCTTCGATGTGTTTTCCTGGGGCCTCTTCTCGAACCTGTTGTCATCATGATTTCTTCATCCTTCTCATTCGTGCCACTGAAATTATCGGATTCAATCG